GGTGCAGAGCGTGGTGCAGTGCATTTGCTCCGTCCTCGCAGCGACGTGCGTGAAGAAGCAGGAGCTCCTGCAGGAGCTTTTCTCTGAGCTCTGCGCCTGCCTCGCTCCCCCCTCGGGCTCGAGCAGAACAGCCTCGCTGTCCGAGGAGCTGAAGCTGGCCGTAATCCAGGCGCTCCACACCCTGATGCACTCAGCTTATGGGGACGTGATCTTGTCTCTGTACCAACCTTCCACCCTTCCTCTCCTAGGATTTGCCGTATCTTTGCTTCTGGGCCTAGCGGAGCAAGAAAAAGCAAAGCAAATTAAGATCTCCGCTTTGAAGTGCTTACAGGTCCTGGTTCTGCAGTGTGACTGCCAGGAGCATCGACGCCTAGATGAAGACGAGGCACAGCAATGTGGGGATTTGTTTGCTTCTTTTCTGCCTGGGATTTCCATTACGCTGTCTCGGGTTATTACTGGAGACATCAAACAAGGTCACAAACCCACCGTCTCTGCCATTAGACTCTTTTATCTGATTGTTGGCTTGGTAATGGCTGATGCACAGCTAGCCAGAATCCCAAAGAATAAAGAAAAGCTGCCAGTGGAACACAGCAGAGTGTCAGAACTCATGGTCCATAGAGGACCCGACTGGAGTAAAAGTACTGCCGAAAAACTCTCTCTCCTCCTGCATAAAGTGGTTGAATTTTCTTCAGTTCACCCCCACTGGAAAGTGAGACTGGAGCTGGTGGAGCTGGTCCACCACTTGCTGAGGAACTGCAGTCGGTCACTGGTGGACTCGTTCAGTCATCTTCTAAAGGCCTTGGTTGGGCTGGTGAACGATGACAACAGCGAAGTCCAGAGCAGGTGTAACGAGGTTCTGCGGGGCATTGCGGAGCAGAGGATCGTAGCGCAGAGCAGGGCTCTTGCTGATGTCCTCTCTGAGAACCTCCATTCCCTTGCCACGGCTCTTCCTCGCCTGATGAACTCTCAGGATGACACGGGCAAGGTTTCCACTCTGAGCTTGTTGCTCGGCTATCTGAAGCTGCTGGGCCCCAAGATTAACGTTGTCCTCAACTCCACATCCCACCTCCACCGTCTCTCCAGAGCGCTGATGCAAGTCCTGGAGTTGGATGTGACAGACGTGAAGATCGTGGAAGACAGGCGCTGGGGCTGCGAGAGCGCGTGCGGACCTTCGGGCTCCTGGCAGCACGGTGTGCAGAAAGGCAGATGTCAGAAGAAATACTTCCGCTTCTTCACGGAGGAGAAAGTTTTCCAGCTCCTTCAGCAAGTTTGTCGTGTTCTTGGCTACTACGGGAACCTCTATCTGCTTGTGGATCATTTCATGGGGCTGTACGGTGAATCTGGCATGTACCGAAAGCAGGCAGCGATGGTCCTCAACGAGCTGGTTGCAGGAGCGGCTGGGATGGGGGTGGATGTCCTTCAGGAACGGGCAATTCCACTGAACATGGACGATCTCAAAGGGTCCATAGTGTCCATTCTCGACGAGTACACAGACCAGGCGAACTGGTATTTGATCACCAGCATTGATACAGAAGAAACCGGCCACGAGCACTCTGTGCAGCGTTCAGGACTTACTGCCCGTCCTGGAGGCGCGCACAGCAGCATCCTGCTTCCGTCCCCAGAGCCGCATGTAACGACCCGCACCATGAACAGCAACATCTGGCAGATCTGCATCCAGCTGGAAGGCATCGGCTGCTTCGCCGCTGTCCTCGGGAAGGAGTTCCGGTTGCTTCTGCTGTCAGCTCTCTACCCTGTGTTGGAGAAGGCTGGCGACAAGACTCTGCTCATCAGTGAGACGGCACTGGGGACGCTGGTGGACATATGCGAGGCCTGCAGATATGACTCCGTGCGGTCTTTGATTAATGAGAATTCTGACTATCTGGTGAACGGCATTTCCCTGAATTTGCGCCAGCTGGCACACCAGCCGCATGCTTCCCAGGTCCTGGACACTATGCTGAGGCATTCAGATGCCAGCTTGCTGCCGCTGGTAGAAGACGTTATCCAAGATGTCTTGTCCACATTAGACCAGTCTTACAGTAACCAGGCTTCCACGTTCCTCGGGGTCCTCCACTCCGTAATGGCAGCTTTAGGTACCTAAATGATGTTTATGTTGCGTAATTCAGTCTTACTGTAACCAAGGGTACTTGTCTTTGACCTTTCGACTTGCCGTGGGAGATGTCACGTAGCTGAGGTACCGCAGTGGGATGGCAGCTTTGCTCTGCTTGGTGGGCCCGCTCTCGAGCAAGGATCCCCAGTAGCTTCCGCTCTCCACAGCCAGTTTCTGTTTGCCTGGCCTGTGGACTTGCAGGAACGGGGCCTGTAGTGGTTGAGAAAGGATGGATTTGCTGCTCCTCCAAGTGTTCTGTAGAAGCACACGGAGTATATTCCTTCTTACATCAGGGGTTTTAACATTCTCCTACCACCAGGGAGGTCACGGTGACGTGACAGCAGGTGCCCGGTTCTCTAGCTCAGTCCCACAAGACTCGAGAGTCATGTTCATCTCCCAGGGAGCCTGTGGTACCTTGCTGACTTGCAGGAGGGCATCGTGATTACTTAGTGACGTATCAGTTTCTTTTTTGCAGTCCAGTGGTTTGGATCATCCTGCGGTGAGGAACACCAGCAAAGGCAGACCGTTGAGTGGCAGAGCAGGACTTTGTCCCAGGGGCAGCCGGTGGTGACAAGGCAAGAAGTGGAACAGTTCTTCCTTGACTACGTCAGACAGAAGCAGATCGCAGAGGGCGATCTTCCCGAGGCAGGGGATGAGGAGGCAGGTCAGTACCATGCGTGACTGGAGAAGAGTACGTTCAGCGTGGAGAAAGACAGCGACCTCTGAGGTTTCCTTTTGTCAGATGGGGGACTCGGGACCGGGCTGAAAGCCTAGCGTGCTCCTGACAGCCTCAGGTCTGCTCTGAGCTGGCCCTAGCTCACCTAAGGAGCTGCCGGGTGTTCTTGCTTCATGCTGTGCAATGCAGGGGGGGGCAGGCAGCAAAATGTTTGCAAATCGAGGCTTGTCTGGCTCTAAGACACAAGCACACACTGCCTTTCCTTACCTCATAACCAGCCATTTGGGTCCAGGACCCAAAGTTTCCTCCTTCCAGGATCCTACTGTATTTTCCTCAGCCTCCCTTGGGAATCCCTGTACCATTTTCTCCTGGCTAATGGTGCCACCACTCCCTTATCACTTGGCCTTGGCAGGGCATGCAGACACTCACATAGGGAACTTTTTAGTCTTTACTGGGCTATGCTGCAATCCTGACCTTTAAGTACTTCATCTTTAAATACCCAGGCTTTTCATTTTTAATAAAAATCAATGGGAAGTAAGTCCATGATGAGGAGAGACTGCAAATGTCAGACCAACTGCACTGTCCAGTAAAGAAAGCAAACCTGCCCTAGTCCCACACTCCTAACTGAATCTGACGCTTCACTCGCACGACTCAAGCGTAGACTTGACTACATCTAAATACGTTAAAAAATGCCTGAGGCCTCACCGGGGAATTTGCAGAGCAGTTGTGGGTGCATATTGTGATCTCCCAGAACTTCCAAGTCATTTTCATGGCTTCAGTAATGGTTTTGTCTTCCAGATGAGGTTCCCCCCCTTGCGAAGCTGGAGCCAAATGACTCGGACACAGAAGGAGAAACTCTGCTGCCAAGCCATGCTCAACTGGCCAAAGATGTGATGGAGAGGTGCATCCACTTGCTGTCTGATGGGAGCCTCCGAGTGCGGCTGAAGGTTGGTAAATGCTGGCTTGGAGGGGACAGGCAGTGCCCCTGAAGGGGGCCGGTAGTTTGTCAACACGTGCACGATGCCTGCTGGGCTCCTGCCGTGAAGAGGTTAGTGCTGGCACATGCTTGTTCAGGACAGACCCTCCAAGTCTGGGAAGAGAAAGGGAGACAGTTTTCTGGGAGTAATCTGTTTTAGGAATGGCAGCTAGACTACACAGAATCTTACGGGTATCCTCGTAGCAGGCACCTTCCCTCGATGCTCGCAATAGGCAAGTCTCGTGCCTCGCCCTTTGGTGGAGGAGGCAGAAGCATCTTTCTCCCATCAAGGACTCCCATCCCCCTTGCTCAGACTGTAGCGCACAGACTGATGAACATTTCTGAAGTTGCTGGGGTGATGCTAAGCAGGGCTAAAAGCCTGGGGTTTTTTAATTATGAAAACCCTTTGAAGGTGGCCTCCTTTTAAACTGCAAAGCGAGACGGCAAATGCAGCGGTGAGGCATAACCCAGATTCCTACCACAGAGGCCCCAGCCCTACCAGGTGATCCTGCTGCTGTGCCAGAGCCACAGTCGGGTCCTAGCGCACAGCTCAGCCTGCGGGATCAGGCCAGAAATCACACCCTGCTGCAAGCCCGGCTCTGTAGCCCAGCACAAGTTATGTCACTGTGCTACTCGTCCCTTGCCCCGGTGTCCTGTGCGCTGTTCACTTATCCCCACTCATGCTGAGGGAAAACTGTACCCTGCCGTATCAAAGCCCTTCTTTCTCCTGGCTCCCTGCTGTGGCGCTGGGGATCCACCCGAATGCCTGGTGCTGCTGGCACCGCAGCACTCTGAAAGTCTCTTACCTACCCCTCCTGCCCAGGTCCTGGACGTGCTGGAGCTCTGTGTAACTGTGCTGCATCCTCACGGAAACCATCTGCTTCCCATGGCTCATCGAGTCTGGCCAGCTCTCGTCACCCGGCTGATTAGTGATGACCCTCTGGCAGTGCTCAGAGCCTTCAAGGTACAGCAGCGAATCCCTGCCAACAGCCTTCAAGCTGGCGCTTAGAAGGCAAGCGGCTCAGGCATTGCTGTGGCCCGTGAGAGAAGCATGGAGCTTGTGGAGTGATTTTTTTTTTTTTTTTTTTTTTTTTTTTTTTTTTTTTTTTTTTTTTTTTTTTTTTTTTTTTTTTTTTTTTTTAAATGTGGTTCGGAACACAGGGTCACCACCCTGCAGGGGTAGGCTTGTACCCCTCCCACTGCAGCTTGTCCACGGGTAAAACCTTGACGCTGTTCCTGGGGGAAACAGCAATATCAGTAGTTGTTGCAGGGAAGAGGAAAATGGTTCTTTTACAGCCCAAGCAGCTGTCAGAGGCGCTGGATAGTGCAGCTTGCCCTTGCTGGAGCCACAGTCTCAGCACCCCCCTTCGGAAGCCTCAGACTGAAGCAAAGGGATTGTTTCATGACGGAGGCTTTGGCAGGGGAGGGGAGAGGTTAGGCAAAGACTTGGCCTCACAACAACGCTGTTAAAGAGCTCCTGACTATGTCAACTGACCACATCCTCTTCCTGACTCACAAGCTGGACAGCAAAGCATGCTTCCAGAGGCTGCCAGTCCCAGAGTTTCACAGGGCTTCCTCTGCTGTGCAAAATGAGGTTTGTTTTAGAATCCTTCAGTGTAAATAAGAGTTTTGATGCCCCACGTTGAAGAAGCCATACACTAGAACTTCAGAGTAGCCACACCTCACATGTGCCTGCCCTAAAAGGGCGAGGTCGCCGCACAAAAGCGAATTAACTCTTGTAAAGTTCAAGGGATCATTACCATCAACACCGAGCTTGGGTTTTGTTATAAGAAATCCCCTGTGAGTGTCTTCCTTCCTAAATCTCGGGACAGCAAGCGTGGCATCAGCGTAAGCCAAACACAGCATAGCCAGCGTCTCAGTGCTGCACACAGAGACCAGGAGCTTAGTGAAGTTCCAAGAGAGAACCCTGTTCTGGCTGCGTGGGTTGGCCCCATGGATCCCTCCTTCATTTTCACGTGTATTTAGGGCCATTCTCTAGGCCGGTTTGGTTTTTACCCTGGGCACACACCAGTAGTGCTGGGTGCCCTGTGCTGCAGCCAACTGGCCTTTCTGTTGGCTGGCACGCCTGTGAGGGTGGACTGCTTCCATCACAAAGCTGATTTATATTTTAATGGCGTTTTCCATCAGAAGCAATTCTGATTAAGACTTCACAAGCTACTTTTACCTTTGCTGTGCTAAGGAGAGAAGGGCAGTCCCAGCGGTCAGCTGCGTGGAACTGAAGAGCAGGGTGCAGGTCTCGGCCTCTCCACTGAGCATTTGCCTTCCGCTCGTTATGGGAAACTGTGGCAGATGTGGCCACATTGCTCTCAACTGCAGAAAAAACTATCAAGGGAGAACAAATGCCGAGCCCCCGAGGTTGCCAGGCTCCTCCCAGACCTGTACGTGCAGTTACCCCCTGGTAACCGATGTTTCTCCACCAGGTGCTGTGTACCTTGGCTCAAAAGTGCGGGGACTTCCTGAGGCAGAGATTCTCCAAAGATGTCCTGCCTAAGCTGACCAGTTCCCTCCTCAGCCAGGCCCCAGCAAGCGCCAGAGCCGGGCCTGTGTACAACCACACGCTTGCCTTCAAGTTGCAGCTGGCTGTGTTGCAGGGACTGGGTTCCCTGTGCGAGAAGTTGGACATGGGTGAGTACCAGGGAAAGTATGAGATCTCTGCCAGGCTTACCTCTTCTTGTTTCATCTCAGCTGAGCAGGCCTGCACTTGCTTCTTGTCCTTCTGCTGCCCCATGGGATTGATTTCCTGATCTTCTCCAGCCTCAGCCCGTTCAGGTCCTGCTGGGCCTTAATCTGTCCTCTTTGAGTGTTCTGTGTGGAGGGGCTGGTCGCTCTTTACTCCCCAGGAGACAAATGGGAGAGGTCCCCAGCACCTCGCAGAATCTGACCGCTCATCTCGCTTGTGCATGAGAAGTGGGTATAAAGCGGAGCACCTGCGTTGCTGCAGCTAGGCCTGTTGGGCCGTGATTTGTTCTTAATTAACTGAAGAACTGGAGCCCAGATAAGACTTCTGGCTAACTTGACTGGTTCCATTTTGGGGCATCTCTCTGGGTGACCCTTTAAATGCGGCACTTCACGTTCTTCTACTGAATGAAACTCTCTGAAATTCTCCCAGGTTAAATTTCTGGAGCTGGCTTTGATGAGGGAGATGGTTTGCTGGCTAGTCGCTCTTTTCCTCTCTCAATGCCCTTGATTGCTTCCCTAGCTTTGCAGCAAGATGCTTAAGAGGCAAGGTCAGAAGAGCTCTGGGTCATGCAGTTCAAAGGCTCAGAAGCCCCTTGCCGCCAATTTAGAGCTGATTCTGTTAGGCAGCAGCCGCTGAGTAGGTTACCTCCTACCCTTCTTTTCTGTTCCATTTCCGCAGGCGAGAGTGACCTGAATAAAGTGGCAGATGCCTGCCTGATCTACCTCAGTGCCAAGCAACCCATGAAGCTGCAAGAAGCTGCCCAGAGGTAATGTCTCTTAAATGCAGGTGTATCAGGTGTACAAATAACGTGGGACAGAGGGAGCACGGTAACCCCTTCCCTCTTGCACCTTTCCCATTCCTCCCTCCGGCACGTTTCAGTCCTGTACAGCAGGGTCTCGCGTGGAAGTTAACCCCTTTCTCTGGTGAAGTATCATTTACTACCCAAAATGAGCTAGAGGTTAGCTTGCCCACAAGTTACAGCTGACTTTCAGATTACCTTGCAGTGCATTTGGGGATGGGGCGGGGGAGGAAGACGTGCCACTTGCTTTTTTCCAACTACCTCCTGTGCCAGAATACTTGGGGCTCTTGGCCCACTGGTGGCATAAAGCTGCAGAGGCAAGGCAGCTATGCAAGAGGATGTGCCAGACATTCCCGCGTATTTTATCACTTAATACCTTCTGCAGGCTGGGGGATTTACTGCTGTTACCCTCCCATTTTCCCTGGGCTCCTGCGATCACGTCAGCCCAGGCTCTGCCAGGTGGACCAGAGTTTGGAAAGCTGTCAGTCTTGGCACCGGTCTTCCTCTGAGAAGGCTGGGAGAGGTTAAAAGAGCACAAACGGTTTAGGCGAACACACATCAGCTCTACGAAGTGTTGACAGGCATGCTTTGCTGCGAGGTGTACAAAATCCTGCTCAGCATGTTCCTGCTGTCAGGATAAGAAATCACTATTGTCATATGTTGTCACCTGGAAACAAGGCCAGAGATTTCAGCAGACAAAGCGAGTCCAGTTACAGAACATGGAAGATAAATCAGGAAGCCGCGCACCTCTGTCTCTGCTGAAGGACAGGGGTAACAGCCCCCCCCCCTTTCTGTGTGGCCAGCCCTCCCCGCCCCTGGGGGGAGAAGGGCTTTTATGTGGCTGGGCAGCAGTTTAGACAGAGAGCGCGCTCGGAAGCTGTCACCGTACCTTTGTTTGTATTCCTGCGCTGGTGAGAGTAGGGTTATTTTTACCTTAGTGGCTTTTATTGCATCTCAGCAGGCTTCAGCAGCATTTGTTCTGCAAAGGCGTTCGCTGTAGGTTTGCATACCCTTAATACAATAAAGCGTTCATCTGTGTAAGCAATGCTGGAATGGAAAGGAGAACACCAGGTTTTGTCTAGATATTTGGAATCTTAAGCTTTTAAATCATTAACAAAGCAGTCTGGAAAGCTGTGCAATTTCCCCCCACAGCAGGGATGGGGGAAATACTGAATTAGCCCTACGAGGCGATAGGGTCATTAGAAGATAGATAGTGTGGCGAGCTCGCTGTTATTGGAGAAAAAGGGCAGCAAAGTTCAGGGCAAGTAACACTTTTCTCCTGTATATTATTTTTATTCTATATTAAGGGTGAAATGCCGCATGTTATGCTGCTCCCCCCTTGCCTTTGATGCACCATACATAACATATTTCACTGAACAAAGCCAGGTCTTCTGTGAACAGCTATCGTGTGTAGCTCTGTTGGTCAGGCACACGCATGCACCGAGGCATGGATGGTGTCTGGCCTGATGTTAGCCGTGCATATGGCAGTACTGGTAGATTTGGTGGGTTTGGTTTGGTTTTTTACTTTAGTCCTGCCTGATCCCTGGTCCTGGGGGGATCAGAGTTAACCACATCACAGTCACTTTTAACCACAGAACACGAGAGGAGGTTTCAGCTCAGGAAAGTCAAAATGAGTTTGCACCATAACAATCCGCTGCAGCACCAGGATGAGAATCGCTTCTCAGCCATGCTTCAGCTTCCTCTCTCCAGCTGCTCAACTACCAGATTCCTGTAGGCTCTGGTCCTTTTCCTTGCTCTCCATGTGCCTGAAGGTAATCCTGCAAACTGACACAGCTTGTCACACGTGAGGCCCTTTCCATCTAGGCAAGGGCAATGTTATCAGCCTGCTACATGAAAAATTCTGCATTTTAAATGCTTCTAAAAACAGACAGACCAGAACTAATCTTAGCCACAGCATGAGTGCCAACATACGTCACATAACTCAGCTTTATCACTGCAGAAATCACACAGGGTAAAAAGATGCTTGGAATCAGCTTGCCATGTTGATTTATACTAACTGGCCTTTGCTCAGCCTCTTGGATTCCTACTCAACCTATGAGTTGTGACCTGCCAAGAACAAGGTCAGGTCCTACAAAGTCAGGTGTAGCTCCAGTAGCTCCCTGCACTGGCTGAGTGAGGGTTCTGTAGGTGTGCAAAGGGCTAAGCAGGAATTTTTGGCCAAGGTGCTGGAGCCACAGGGGGAAAAAAAAAGTTCTGGCTATCATCCAGGGATGTTCTCATGCCCCAGGGAGGCTGCTTAATCCCATTTATGGGACCCTGTAGTTTTATTAGATGAGCCAGTGGGAGTAAGTGAATTTTGTAACTGCAGCTTCATGCAGTACTCAACAAGCGAAAATAGATGCTGGGGAAAAAAAAACAACCTCCAGCACGTCTGAGGAAGAGAAACTGGGACAATAGGCTTTATAATAAGGTGACTGCTGGGAGTATTCCAGCAGAGGAATATTATCCAAAGCTTGGAAAAAAAAATACTGGAGTCTGGGAAGGCTAGGGAGCACAAAACGCATCTCTGCTTTCATTGAAAATAGGCAGGGGGGGAGCTGGTGTCGACTGAGAGTCCCAGTATGTAAGTCTGAGCTTCTCATCAACTTGTTGAGTCGCATCATCCTTGACAAGCTTTTCACTTTTGGGGAGGAAAAAAAAGCCACAAAGCAAAAAACCACCAAAAACCTTTGAAGGAAAAGCTGTTAAGAAATTGTCATTGGCTTCTGCCAACGCTTCACACATAGCTCTGCATTTTTCAGTTTGAAGTGACTGTTTTGAAATTTACACTTAATGCCTAATAAATGTTTACAGGCTGTGAAATTTACTGTTTGACCTTTTGGCCAACAGGCTGGATAGGAGTGGTGGTTTTTTTCCCAGGATACAGAAATAATTTCCCCAGTTCTTACTGAAGCCTGTGGTAAACTAATCTGGTTAAACATTCAGCAGATGCCAAAGCCAAAGGCTTGTCCTTGCGCCAGCCTGTTCACTGTGCCACAGCTTTGGGAAAAGACAAGGCAAGAGAAGAGCCGGGCTCTGCTCTGTGCTAGCCGAGCACGTTGTTTAGCACAACTAGAACAAATATGAGCTATTTTTGGACCTTTTTAGATACCAAAGGTGATTACGCAGTGTACCTCCTTTGGTTTGCCTGTGTATTTTATTGGAGACTTATCGACAGCCATCATTCGCAGGCTGGGCTGAAGTACACCGAAACAGCCACCTGCACAGGGCAAAATTCAATAAAATGATATTTAAGTTAAAAAAAAAAAAGGCAACAACAGAAAACAAACCTTGATTAACCCCAGGATTCTTTGCCATGGAAACAGGTTGCTTAGAAACTACCCCAGAGTTAGTTTGAAAATGTAAAAGTCAAGTTGTGCTTTAAGCTGCACAGCACTCCAGGTTATCGGGAGATAATCACGCGCCTCGGGCCATTATGGGCAGGAGAGGCAGGGGTTCCCGGGACCTGCTAATCTCCTGAGGGTTGCTCTCTCCAGAGCAGCTGATGGGGAAGAGGTTGGAGAGCAGGAGGGCTGTGCTGTGAATGGAAGAGGTAAAGCTGTGCGCGTGCTGGAGGAGCGGAACCCAGCTGAAGAGGATCCCCTCTTCCCACATTTGCTGCCCAGCGATTTCCTCTGTCTTGCCCGGTCCCATCTGCCCCAGCCATCGGGAGCGAGGATTACGGCTGTGTGGCTGCCCACCGGCAGCAGCCCATGGCAAGCTGGGGGAAGC